CTCGTTACGAATTCTCCCCCTTCCATCCATTCTTCTACCCACGCCGCAGACTCTCGTGGTCCATGACGCGGCGGCGACGTTATTGCCTTTCCACGAAAGTCAATAGAAAGAGCGAAGGACCAGGAGGAGGGCAGCCCTGGATCGCATGATATATGGGACAGTTCAAACTATTGTCATTTGGAGCCCGTAGATCTTGGCTAGAAGCGCGAGTCCCTATTCATTACAAATTATCCAAATGGCAGTGATTTCGCCGTTCGGGCCGGCTAGGCCGGCTGGCCGTTTGACGAGTAAGTGGCGGGTTCGGGAAGCTGGGCCGTACGCCAGTGACTATTGGCCTCGACTTTTCCTTGAGCTCCGGAGGCCCAACGGGGGGATCGACGACCCTCGGGTTCGGCCGCCTGAGAGCCACTGTGGGACCCGGGCCATGACCGGCCCTAAAATTGGACTTATTACAACTTATAGAGCGCGATTTGAACGCTCCGCTCAATAACATACATTATCCCCAATCCATATGATTTAATGAAATCCCTCTAAACTCTCCACTTAGCCGCCGTCCTCGCGCACATGTATGCTGCAATCACTGACGTAGCCAAACTCATCCCTCCCCGACGCAGTCGATGCCTCTAACAATCTGCATTTCCGATAGTCGCCCAACCGACCCCGTCGCTACCATAATCGATACCCTGTCGATATACTCTCTAGGCTTGTTCGGGCCACTTCAAAAGTCCTACCTGCAGCAGCTAGGGGGATGCTGAGGAGGAGCGAAGCTAACGTTCGTCTCTTATGGGCCTGATCGAGATGAAGCTGGGTAAGTTCTTTCCGAGAAGCGTACGTAAAAAAGACTCGTCATTCCAATTACACTGGAGGTGGGGATGGAGGAGGGGTCGAGGGGGCGGTGGGAGCTGGAGGCATCGCGACTCTAAAAGTCTAGAGTCTAAGGCGAAATGAAACGCGAGCTCGTCGGGGAGTCGGGATGCGAGTGGTCCAGAGTGAACTGACTGAACGGCGATAAAACACAATTTGAGCTAAAGACTGCACTCCTATGAGTCCCTCTCCACCTCACGGCTCTCCGCTCACAAGCTGATGAGGTGACAACCCATAATTATACAGACCGCTTTCTGTCTGGCCTGACTGCAGTGGCATGCAGAGACCTCAGAGGGCCCCATCATCCTCCTCGTCCTCCTCGTCCTCCTCGTCCTCCACATCCTCTCATCCTCTTCTCCTGAACTCTCCTGGACCAGTGCCGGCCTTCGCTCTCGTACTTAACAGTCATACGGGGCCCGTAAGCCCTACGACCCACACCGGCATTGATGCACCCCCTCGTCCTCCTCCTCCTCCACCGCCCCCCCTCCCTCCCTACCACTACCACCTCCCCGCCATAGAATCTCGCTACTTCTTTCTGGTGTTAATTACAAAACGCGAGAATAAATTGCCCGGCTAAATGAGCTCTGGGCAGCCACGACCGTTGCGTCCGTCATTTTGATATATCCCAAGAAGAGGCGGCCCAAAGAGAGACGTAAGGCATACCATGTAGACATACTGCAATGGTATAGAGAATAGAGGAGAGAGAGAGAGAGAGAGAGAGAGAGAGAGAAAAGGCCAGTCGCATCTCCTCGCTCTCGCAGTTCAAGTGTAGTCGGAGAGCGATTCGAGAGTGTAAAGGCCGCAGATACAGGCGTCGCGAGAGAACGGGAATTTGGGGTAAAAAAAAGAGAGGGCTTTTGGTGGACTCCCTTCAAAGGCCGAGAGTGGCCAACAGAGAGAACACGGTACACCTACACGGCTCGAAGCTTACGTGCGAGCGGTCAGAAGTAACAGCGGAAAGGCCTAAAAAGATTAATCTGGCTCATCGATCCGTAGAAAGGGAAGAGGGTGGCTGATGGCGAGCCTTTGCCAAAATTCATTTCTGCCCAGTCGCCCCGGCCACTTTGCTTAACTTTAATTTTAGTTTCTCCCGCACTTGGATCGCCGACTTCTAGTCTTCTCTCCGTCTCTTCCTTTCCCTCCATTCGCTTCCTCCTACCAGCATCCCACTTCGATCTCGTAACACGCGGCTCTCAGCTAAGGAGAGGATTACACTTTTTCTGCGCCACTGGCTTCCGTAAACAAAGGGATAACCTACACCCGGCTGAATCCCAACCACGTGAAATTATTTGGAAAATTTGCCCTTTGTCCCCGCGTCCGTCTTCCCCGAATCCTCTGCCATTGTTCTTGGCCGTCGAAAAGGATGGAAAAACGTAGGTGCCCCCTTCGGTCCTTTCTAATCTTATCTGACCTAACCTGACCTGAGCTAATCTGGAACCTACCAGAATTTCCAAAATGTACAATAAAGATATATACATGCGGAATATCGAACGTGAGGGAGACGCGATAAGTATGCCGAATTCAGCCTAAGATCACTCAGGCGTATCGCGTTAATGCGCTCGCGCATGCGCAGACGCGTCGGTACGGCAGACAGAATGGGGAAACGACGTTTCTCGCGAGGAATCCGGTTTTTCGAGTAATCGACCCCAGGAGCATCGGCACACCGGCACGGAAGATCGACTGACTGTAACTGCGAAACGTCGATGCCCTGGGCGAGAGGGGCGAGAGGGGCGAGAGGGGCGAGAAAGGCCAGTAAACGGAGCGCAGAAGAGAGGAAAGGAGGAGAAGAACAAGAAGAAAGAGAGAGAGAGAGAGAGAGTGAGGAAGAACTGTTAGAATCTTCCAAGAGAGCCTATTGAGACGTGTATCTGTGCGGCGGGGGCCCAAAGGATAAATAGGAGCCGGTCGCGGGCCAGGCTCTACGGGCCCCGAAGAAGCAACCAATCTTCTTCAGCCCTTAACGACGCCAACCCGAGGAACGTACTGAGCCAGAGCGAAGCAGCAAAGGGCTAAGGAGGAGACGGAGGAGGTGGCGGAGCGCGCGCGACTAGGACTGATGCTGCGCTTAGTATTTGTTCTTTGGGTCCATGGTCTCCCTCCATAAGCATCATCCAAGGGCAGTAAACCCCTTGATATATAGTCCAAGCTTTTTAGAGTTCTGTCAGCCACGCCCACAATCAGCCTTACTATTATTTACACTCCTGAGTTCGTATCCACTTGGTTCTTCGTGTACTGTATCTATACCTGCCACCTCCTCCCACCGCCCACCTCCCACAGCCACTGCAACCGCAGCCTTTCGTCGACTGGTTAGAAGTCTTCGAAGATGCTTTAAATTCTCTGAGAAAATTCGTCTTCATCTCGCCTGGTCCGTAGATGCCTTTCAATTTCAATTCCGAGTCTCGTCTTCCTTCCTGCCTGCCTAAGAATG